TATGTAAGTCCCGAAATGACCTAGTTTGTGTCGAGTGGACGTTAAACCCCATTTCTCTCTCTCTCTTCATCTGGAAAAGGAAACTGGTGTCCCAAACTGTATTATGCGGTGTCTGGATAATACCAGACTTTATTTTATAAAAATACTGTGTAGGTAAAATTTACCTTTCGTTATCAAGTACAGCATGTACATCACGTGGGTCAAGCACTGTATAGACCTCTAAAGGAACAGCAATAGATTATCAGATCACCCAACGAAATCTTATACAATTAGGTCAAGCATCCGTGTTTTCGTTTCTGAAAAGCTGCTGTTGAGATATTTTTGCTCTGTGCTCCAGGGCAGAGGCACTATATCCTACTCTTATTTCGAATTCCAACTGCCAAGGAATCTTTTACGTGCACGCCAATGTAAACACGGGTCCTCGGTTTTTTGTCGCATCTGAAAGACTATACAGCTGTCCTTGTCAGGCCCTCCGTTCTGCACCACTGACAATGGGAAACCACGTCGGAAAATCTAGATGAAGTTTCTCGGCCAATGCAGGGATCGTACACCCGACCTCCAGGCTAGCGAGCCAGCGTCTTAACCACCTAGCCACCGTGATCCCCCAAAAATGAGCAAAGTTTAGGGAATATTAATCACCTATATACATATAAAGAAAGAAAACATCATACAAAATCTATCACTCGGTTAATTACGATGACAATAAGAATTGTCTTTCTTGCTTCAATCTTCCATTTATTTCCGGTTTTTTTAGTTTTTTATTTAAAAAAAAAAGAGTATATTAATATTAAGGGAATATTAATCTTCTATGTATATAAGAAAAACAATAAGAATGTGTTGTTTTATTCGAAATACAGGTTATTTTGGGTGAATCTATGGACCACTCTGTCTCATGACCACAATGCTTGAAATCAAATTTACAACAGCGAAATGGAATACGTTACGTTGACAAACACATTTCATATTTATTACGATAAATGTTTAACATTTATAACAATAGGGATTGACATTACATGAGGACGCAGCAACTGCATGCAAATGTGTTCAAATATTATTTTACGTGCAGTATAAAGCATGATAGTTCTCTTTTACCAAAGGGTTTTTATTTTTTTTTTCTCACTACTATCCTAGGGTGTGTGTTAATCATATTACGAAGTGTTTCGTTATTCAATTTCCTGTCAGTATTGAATATTGAAGCTGGCAAAAACTCTTTGCTTAACTCATACTGTGTTTGCCGTTAGGTGTAAATAGTTAATCATCCCCACAAAAGGTATGAAAAGTAATTTTGTCAAGATTATTTGGCGTGAAATAATATCGCCAGATTGGGAAAGCTCAAATACAAACTTTATTTTTTTTTTATTAGCCTACCTATTTTTATTTTTGATTTTTAATTTTTAAATTTTGAAATATAATTTCAATTTTCGATTTTGTAGAATAATTTTTAACAACGAGTCGTAAATCACTATTAACTGTCGGATTTCTATACGCACATCATCTGATTGCTTTCAAATTGATATATGATGATGAATTTGAAAAATTTCCTTAATTTCTTCTGGAGTTATAGCCCTTGTTTCACTTTGTTGGACCTTGTGAAAGCTCTAAAGACAAAAGGCATCCTCCGATCTTTTTGAAATTTATATACATCATTTAAATTAGTGCAATGAAGACGCCTATTGAATTTCAGCAATTTATGTGAATTATTTCTAGAGTTATGGCCCTTGTTTTAATTACTTTGCTGAACCTTGTGAACGTTCGAATAACAATATATATCATCAGATCTGTATGAAATTTATATGCATTATTTAAATTAGTAACACGAAAAATCTGTCAAATTTCAACCATTTCTGTTAATTACTTTCCAGAGTTAAGGCCCTTGTTTCAGTTTGTAGAACCTTGTAAACCCTTGAAACGACGAAAATTCTAATCTGATCTGTATAAATATAGTTATGTAAATGCCCCCATTACCTACAAAAGATTAAATGTGAGATTTAGTTGCCGTGGGCGTATGTTTCATAGCCTGGCAACCTACCTTTTCTATTGAACAATTGTCATCGAAGATATAAAACAATTTACCAATTACTATAGTTGTCAGTGGGTAGAGTATCTATCCTAATCCTAAATAAACGAGCAACAAGATTTGTTTTGGCCAAAGTTTTGTTATTCATAATAAGGGCTGGGGTACGGGCGGATGGTCTGATCTTCTAACAAGATTATAAATCCTCTCCTTTGAGCGACATTTAGCAATTGACATACGTAATAAACACAAAAACATAATATGGAACACAATTACTATTTTAATTAAAGCAAATTTGCTTGAAAACGTTGAGAGAACCCTCATTGCTTGGAAACGTTGACAGAACCCTCAACGAAACGTTGCTTTAATTAAAATAGTAATTGTGTTCCATACATGTATTATGTTTTTGTGTGTATTATAAATCCTGTTAAAATGAATAAAGAATGAGGGATCTCCGTGGGATCTATCTACCCTTGGCAATTTGTTCCATCCCGACTGACGCTACATATTCATACATTTGACCATACGAACTTATTTCTGTCGATTTCCCTTTATTCCGGGACTTAGGGTTTCATCTCGACTGAAGCTATATTTTTATACCTTTGACCATATGAACTGCTTCCTGTTTGAAAGATTTGTTTGGTTTTATCTTATGTCAATCATGAACTCCAAACATCTTTACTTTCATGGGTCTCATTACGAATCCAGTCTCCAGTTGTAGTAAATTGAAGTATTAGTCGATTTAATTTCGCCCACATTTAACAGGGACATATTATATTGCCGTCACCCCTGCACGCCCACCCATGCTTCATGTGAACACTATAGAATGAACAGTTTTCGTCTGATTTTATTGAAACTTGGTGTCTTATTTTGGACGACTTCATATTGAACCCGATTCGTTGCCGTTTGCTCTAATGCCCCGCTTTCACGTGGGCTACGAATGCTACGAATCGCAACGAATAGTGGCGAATCGAAATTACTCGGAATTCGTGGTGATTCGCCCCCTCCCCCTTCCCCCAGTTCCTGGCCATGGAAGTGGAGTACCAAAACCGACTGCGGGTAGCTGAGAACCTGAGGAGGAGGGAAAGCCGAAGAAGACAGAGAAGACATAGGCGCTGGTGAGTACGACCATGGCTGACACCTCAGAGAAGGCTAGAATGTAGCCACTACAACAGAGTGATGCAAGAATCGAGGGTGGAAGATGAGTAGACTTTCACCATCTATGTCAGAATACCACGCCACATGTTTGATGAGCTCCTCCAGAAGATTGGCCCTGGGATTCGGAAGAAGCACACTCCCACGAGACCAACCCTAGAAGCTGGACTCAAGCTGGCAGTGACCCTCAGACAACTGGCTACAGTAGACCGGTACCCCACACTCCACTATGACTTAAGGTGAGGCCAGAGCAGTGTGGGAGACATGTACCAGAGATGTACCAGAAATGTACCAGGTCATCATTGATGAGCTGAGGGACGCGGTCATGCCACTGCCCAGGACTCACTATGACCTGAAGGCTATTGCCCAGCAGTTCCAAGTCCGTTGGAATGTTCATATCCCATATCCCTTAAGAAATCATCCAAATCCAGTGTCTTCAAGGGCTTCTTCTCTGTGTTTCTGATGGCCCTAGTGCGGCTCTTCATCCTCTTGCTGCTGTCGCTCCTCCTGGGTGGGGGGGGGGGGTACATCTTGGGGGATCTTGGTAATTCGTCGTAGTCGTGTTAGATGTTGGCACTTGGGCTCCGGAAACTGTTATGTCAGGAACAAACCGGAGTCGCTTCTTTATATAGAGGAACACAGTGGCTGAGGTCAGGTGTTCCATCCCTGCATTGGCCGAGAAAGTTCATCCAAATTTTCCGGCGTGGTTCCCCCTCGTCAGTGATGCAGGACGAAGGGCCTGGTAAGGACAGCTGTCTAGTCGTTCGGATGGGACGAAAAACCGAGGTCCCGTGTACACGACAAAGATCCCTTGACAGTTGGAATTCGATGTAAGAGTAGGCCGTAGTGCCGCTGTCCGGGAAAAATTTCACTCATAGCACACTGTATGGGGTATGCCCGTCTTCATTAGCCCAGTTAAGAGCAAAACAGTAGGACGTTAAACCCCATTTCATTTCATTTTCATTTACTTCTTCATATGGCGTTTTGGGATAGGTCGTAGATGATTCGGTTAACCCTCAACTATTCGTAAACGATTCACTTCAGGACCCTTTTGGCCGATTCATGAAAGCAATCGGATTATTTGTAGCAGATTTGTAGTTCATTCTTGGTTGAATCGCGGTGCCGTCCCGATTGGACTTAAATGCATCCGTTTAGGGCACGTGGGATTATCGCCATGACATATAAATCAAAAATGGGATGTTATAATCCATACGATGAAATTTGACATGATATCTGAGAGTTGTAGCCCTTCGTACTACTCACAACACTCACAATTTTGCCCGGATAATTGTTATTACTATTGTTAATTTGTCGACGTTCTAACTGTGGACGTCCACTGGAAGACGATCGCGGTCGGGAAACGCCATTCAGGCGAAGACCACCATCAAGACTGGTCGTAGTAGACGCTTACGACGGGCCAGCTGATCCATCCACTAGATTTGATCTATTGTTTATTCCTTGCAATGTCGATGTAGTTTGTGTCTTGTCCGCGGCTTTGTTTATCGATGTGTATGAATAGCGTGTACGTGATTCCATTTTAACTCCAGCTATCAGCGAACAAACCCCTAACACCCTCAATTGGCAATGATAGAAACACAACCAATTTACAAATTTCCTTAAAAAACATTATAAGTTTGGGAAGCCATGCTAAAAATATTATACCGACGTAATCCATTTTTTTTTTAGAAACAGCTGGTCCACCACTTTCTAGATTTAAAGTTACCAAACACCCTAACAATAAGCTGCTGTAATTTGAAATAATTAAACACCTTACGTAGCAATATTGTTTGGTGTGAATTCAAATTTATTGAATACCTTAAGTGGCAATATGGCCTGGTGTACTTAACGCTTGTCTAATATTTTGTGTATAAATGTATCAGAAAAGAATAGGAAATTTATAGAAGATTTGATCCGAGACTGGATAAATTAAGGTAAGATAAATTTGTCATAACGCTGTACATTTTTACCATACTGTTATATCTTATATACTAAAGTTACTGCACTTTCAATGTTATATTGAATTCTTAACATTCAAAAATAACTGAAATAAATTATCGACCTTAAACGGTTGAAATGTTGTTTGCTGATCCACTATCATTGGTGGCGACCATAGAAGGTCTTATTTAGAATTGTGGAAGAAACAAAAAACATCTATTGAAACGTCGCGATTTTCCGGCATGGTATCCCCTTATAAGTGGTGCAACTGTCTAGCCCTTCGGATGATACGAAATTGGCGTGCACGTAAAAGACCCCTTGGCAGTTGGAATTCGATATAGGAGTAGGCCATACGCCACTATCCTGACAAAATTTCCCTCATAGCACACTTTATGGCGTATACCGTCTTCATTAGCCCAGTCGGAGCAGAACAGTAGGACATTAAACCCCATTTCATTTCATTTTTATTGACACGAATGCGAAAACAGTAGCACATTATTTCTGAAACAAACTTATCCATTTAAATTATATCTTCTGTACAGATGGCAAAAATTACGTTTGCTCTTTTAATGGTGATCATGATGTTAGGTATCATTCCTAACGACATACTAGCTGAACCTGGCGATGTACACCACCATCGTCGAATTGATTACCATCGTCATGTTCATCATCACCACCATCGAAGACGTTGGTGGGGGAAACGGGATGTAGAAAACCTTGATTTGGCGGAGATCGAACGATCCTTGGAGGAAAATATTAACAAGTACTCCAACTAAAGTAAGTTAATTTTTAAATTTATACATGTAATTCGTCTGCATTAGATTTTGTGGCTAAAGTTTACACAATATTGATAGCAAAAGATGTTCCGTTTACCCAAATTGCTTCACTTGGCACCGAGATATTAACGATTCAATTTTAGGCTAGGCTCGATCGTTATTACTACAGTTGGTACGATAATAAACAAACTTTTACGTTAAATCACCCATCACAAAGTGTATTCAAATCCATTAAATATCATAGGCTATCGATGGCATCGAGAGTTGATCATGGCATGGATGAGTTAATTAATGTCTAATTAATAATTTAGATAACATTTCAGGCCTAACGAAAGACCTGCAATAGGCAGATTTAGCTTTTGCATAATGTATGTTGTACTGTATATTTGTTCCGTGTCCCTTAGCTGATGTCTTTTATAAGCCGTCCAGGGGGGTCCGTAAAATGGGGTTTAACGTCCTACTGTTCTCCACCGACTGGGCTAGCCATATATATATATATATATATATATATATATTGTGTGCTATGAGGGAGATTTTGCCCGGAGAGCGGCGCTACAGTCTACTCTTATATCCAATTTCAGCTGTCTGTGGTTATTTACGTCCACGTCAATATGTACACGGGACCTCGGTTATTCGTCCCACCCGAACGGCCATACAATGTCCCTTGCCAGGCCCGCGGTCCTACACCACTGATAAAGGGAAATCACGGCAGAAAATCCTGATGAACTTTATTGGTCAACATAGGGAACACCTCCAGGTTAACGAACCAACGTCTTACTCACTAAGCCAACATGGCCCCTATCCATATAGGGAACACGTACACCTCCAGGATAGCCAGCCAACGTCTTACCCACTGAGCCACCATGGCTCCTATTCATATTATAAAATATAAATTATTTCTTTTTAGGTACCAGTGATTGTGTAAAATGGAGGTGAATAAAACAAAATAATGCAGATAGTTGTGATATGTTGTTATATATTTCAGAATCCGAAGTTGCTATACAACTTAAAATATTACTATTTATATCTCCGCGAATATTATATAGAATATTTCCGTGGTCCAATGGTCCAACGCGTGCGATTTAGATTGGGAGCTCTGTTATTGAGACGAATTGCGTAGTTTCAATTCCTAGTTAATGTATGTGACAAGGAGGAGGGTCGCCTGTCCAACCGCCCGGTTTCTTCCCCAAACCGACCCCCATGCACAAACAAATAATTGTTCCCACCCCACTCCTGCTGGCACAGAGAATATGTTTTCCCTCCTACATTCATGGAAATAACGCCCTTTCAGCTCACCCCACAGTAATCCTATACATGTAAACACCTAAATGAGCAGGAATATTGTCTCAAAGTTTCTGAATCTGTCTTATTCGTGGGTAGTTCACCCTCAATCATAACCCGCATTCTGGTTGATGTAAGAGATTAGTCAATGAAACGGCCTGTTGCAGCGAGTTCTTGGCGTGCGATGCACTGAAATGTGGGTATCTTACTAGAAACATCAACTCTGATTGCTTATTTTGCCTAATGGTTAATCCAGCCCTGCTGGCAAGTTAAGTGTCCCTAGTCATTCGGACAGGATAAAATAAACCGAGATGCCTCGGGATTTTCTGGCGTGTTTTGCCGGACGGAGGACCTGACAAGGGCAGCTGTCTAGTCGTTCGTATGGTACAAAAAAAACCAAGGTTCCGTGTATATCTTTATTAGCCCAGCCGGAGCAGAACAGTAGGACGTTAAACCCCATTTCATTTTATTTCTTACTAGCCATGAAAATAAAGTGTTAAGTAGCCATATGCATACAATGTGTTATTTAAAGCTATGCGGTTGACAGGATTTCTTTATTATTTAGTTGTCTTGTTTTCTGCCAACGATACTCCACCCCCACCCCCACCTACTCGCTCCCATAGCAACACACACAAACAACCGCTCCCACAAATTTTGTTTTTATCATACGCACAGAACATTAAAAACAGATCCTTTGAATTTTTTTAATAAATTGTCTAATATTATGCATGGGAGCTACAAATTGTGAATCGATTGGTGGTGGATCCAGATTCAGGGTTAGGGTTTGGGTTAGTTTTACCCAAAATACTTATTTGTATAAAGCGACCATTATGAACTCCGAAAATTCCCGAACGTCCCCAACCGGCCTACAATTAGCATCGTCCATTATAGATAGACCTTCAAGTTTGCAGAAATTTCTTCGCTTTTAAGTCGATTTTTAACCATTTGTTTCATATTTAATACGTCTGATGTTTTTTATTATCGAGTAAAATGCGTTATCTTTTTAGCAGCGTGTTCGTTTATTCATAAATCGCCTGAATTATTCGATTATCTGCCTTGTTATATTCGACAATTATCGTATGCTAATAAGCTTATTTCCATGCATGTAACTTATTACATATTAAATAGGATTTTTAGACATGCAAAATTGCCAGGCTCTAAACTTGGGTGGGCGCAGGTGGGGGGGGGGGAGAAATTGTCGACCATAGATAAATATACATTGTCCTTCAATTTTACAGCACCCCTGAGAACACTTCCCGCCCCCCTCGTTGCTCTGTGCTAGTGAGGCCCTGAAAATTGCTCATTTGTATGACTTGTTATTTAAATATTTCAGTCGGTATTTGTGAATTGTTCTAGCTTCGGTTGTTATTTTTAAATTACTGCCATGTTTAATATTAAAGCAGGTTAACATTTTTACAATTTACAAATGCAACAAGATGCGGTTAACACGACATAATTCTAACCTGTATTGTTGGAGTTAAAGGGCCAATCCCGATAATATGTTGGACAATAAAACTGCATAATTTTATGTTAAAATCCCTTAAAATCCTCTACCAAAGGGCCGAGCAACTAACTCAATATTTGTGATACGTTTTCAAACAACTTAAACCTGTCGGTCTTCATCTGGAAATGGAGACCGGTGTCCCAAACTGTATTATGCGGCTTATGGATAAACCAGACTTTTATTTTTTAAAAATAATGTGTAGGTGAAATTTACCTTTCGTTATCAAGTACAGCACCTGGGTCATTCATTTTACAGACCTCTTAAAGGGACAATAACACTCTTGCTGGCTTGAAACCTCCAGAAAATAAATAATATCTCTATCTAAGTACTAGATGTTTTAAGTGTCCTACCTGTTGTGTAAATTATCCATTACATCCTTTTTTACTTGTCCAGAGGGTTCGAAAATATTTTTAAATCGAAATTTCATTTGAAAAGGTTTACGTTAGACGTTTCAAACCATTATGTTGAATTTTTCAAAATTTTTAAATAAGGTGTGTTAAGATGAAATTTGTATCATCAATTAATTGAAATATTCTAAAATAGTACAATTTGTTGACCAGAATAAAGATTGGGGCATATTATTCAGTTACAACAAGAGTGGTATTGAGCCTTTAAGGAATGGGAATCGATTATCAGGTCACCCAATGAAAAAATGACCAGAAATCTTAAAAGGGTTACGTGTCCGGATAAGCATTTATGACGTTCACGTCCAAATGACTAAATATTGTGAGCTGAATTGTTGAGACTAGGTAAACACACCATTCCTCTATATTTTGGCGCTTAAATTTCAAACGTACTCGAACTTTTATTTTTGAGACTCTGTTCAAATCGGGATAGTCCCTTTAAGCATTTGGACTAGTAATTATGTAGTGCGAGTTATAAATATACAATTTTTTTCCTTAATTTTTTTCTCCAGTCTTCCTGCATTTTTGGGTTGACTTTTTGGTCTAGAATTGGAAAAAAGAGATCAAATTTGCAAGTTTATAGCAGTTTTGGGTAATACTGATGATATTACAGTGGTGAGATAGGGGGTGTAAAATGTCTTTCTGCAGAGCAAACATCGTGTCGGAAGTGAGATTTTCACCCCAGTCAACATCAAATCCCCGTAGCATAAAGTATAAACGGTCAACCCTCTACAAATTTATGATGAGGATATTGCCAAATGTGGTCCCCACTGTGCCTATAAAGAGTGGAATCAACGGAATGTTGATCAAAAGGCTACAGCCTGTGATGTTACAGCCATTTAACATTGAAGTCAATGGGCAAATAATTACTAGTCTGCGTCCATTTTGTAAGAGTTAAAATGAAGTTGCTTCCCCTGAATTAGAAAACTCGTTGCCCTGGCAATGAACAGATTCTCATCGGTCAACCAGAGAAGGCCAGTCGGTGTTTTTTTTTCTTTTATAATTGTTAAAATCGGGTTGCCTCCCCTTAATTAGAATTTCAGCGTTCGAAAACTCCATTGCCCGGGCAAGGGTACGGTGGTACGAAAAAAGATGGGGTAGACGCCACTGTGTGGGCAAAAGTCTCCTTGTAGTACATTGCATGGCGTATACCCGTCTTCATTATACTGATTCGTGCAGAACAGTAGGACGTTAAACCCCATTTTATTTTGGTTGGGGTTCGATTGAGGAAAACATTCATTCGGGATCTTCGGGACAAAGCTCTAGCTAGTGCATTTTGGCAGTTGACATCCTTATTCGACTGATAATTAAGCTGAAGCCGGGCGCAAAATGCTAATTCATTTCCTTTCTTGCATACTACATGTATTGTAGAAAGAGAAAAGGCAGGGGCGGATCCAGAATTTTCGGAAAAGGTGTGTATTATGTATTTTTGTTCTCCTTTCCCGCGAGATTGCTCCTCCCCCCTCCGGATCCGCGCCTGATTGTAAGTGTGTCTGCTCTGGTTTGGTTTCCATACGTGAAATAAACTGAAAAACAAATTACAGTGGCGAGACTCATAGATGAATCGAAATAGGTTTCAAGTTTTTATTTACGTAAGCCACCACGCGATGGGACTCATGGAGTATGTATTGCATTACAAAACACAAAAATTGAAGATGTCGCCCAGTAAGTTCTTTCAATCGGCATATTATCTTCCTTAATTGCCATTCAAGTAATTTGAATCCCCGGTTGTACGTGTCCAACCTCATGGGTTTTCTCCGGGTCCTCCGGTTACCTCCCACTGCTAAAGACCCCTACGCGCAAGCGAATTATTGAAATAAAATTAAACCATATGTTAGTACGAAATGACCTAGTTTGTGTCGAGTGGACGTTAAACTCGATCTCTCTCTCTCATTCAAGTAAATTGATTTAGTAAATGGCCTATCCATATATTACAGCATATCCATATATTACAAGTTTATTCATGTTTGTGGGTTTATGAATATTTATTTATTCAACGTAATCTATGCTTCCTCCTTCCCCACTTCCTCCATTGTCAACATGTCAGTTATCCATAATTCTGATATCTTTGTTGTGAAATTATTATAATAGTGGATGTAGCATGTAGAATATTCATATATCTATAACATATCAAGTACCCCTTCACTCGGGGGGGGGGGGGAGGGGAGGGGTATGGCCGAATAGTTAGCACGTGCGCGCTGTATCATACGGTCTGTCATTGAGTCAACTGGCGGGGTTTCGATTCCCCGGTTGTACGTAACAAGGAGTAGGGTCGCCTGTCCAACCTCGTGGGTTTTCTCCGGGTCCTCCGGTTTCCTCCCACTGCTAAAGACTCCTACGCGCAAGCGAATTATTGAAATAAAATTGAACCATGTGTTAGTCCCGACATGACCTCGTTTGTGTCGGGTGGACGTTAAATCCCATCTCTCTCTCTCTCTCTCTCTCGCTCTCTCTCTCTCTCTCCCTCTCTCTCTCTCTCTCTCTCTCACCCCTTCACCCCTTCCTGCCTTCGCATTAACTAAGCTGCCCAACCTGATTAAAATACAGATCTATATTTCGTTTCGCTATTTATACTTTCGATGGTCTACACTACATGAAGATCTGACAAGTTATAGTGGGAGTTCACGTCAGGGGTCAAACGAGCGGCTTTTGACCCTATGACCAGTAGTCTCTTTAGGGTTAGTTTTTCCCCAAAATACTCATTTATATAAAGCGGCCATTACCGAACCTCCCTTAACATCTCTCACGTGGATTGCATCGCTCCCTGAATATTTAGATTTATCAGAATGGGGAAAATGACGAAGTCTCCCAATTGGGGTGGGTGGTGTAGGTATACTTGGATGCGGTGGAAATGAGGTTTAGACAAGTGAGGTGTACAATATCCAATAACAGTATATGATATATTATGCCGCGAATGAACGCAAAGGCAAACAATGATTGAATGGCGACATTTAAAAACTTTGAAAGGTGAAACACTTTAAAGGGACCATTCCGATTTTAACAGAAATAAACGTCCGTATACTTATGAAATTTAAGCGTCAAAATATAGAGGAATGGTTTATTTACCGTGTCACAAAATTTCATCTCAAAATATTGAGTCGTTTGGACGTGAACGCCAAAACCGCTTATCCGGACACGTAACCCTTTTAAGATTTCGGGTCAATTTTTTCGTTCCTTGACCTGATAATCTATTGTCGTTCCTTTAGAGGTCTATACCCAAGTGCTGTACTTGATAACGAAAGGTAAATTTCACCTATATGTTATTTTTATAAAATAAAAGCCTGGTTTGATCCAGACACCGTCTAATACAACTTGGGACACCGATCTCGATTTCAAGATGAAGACTGACGGGATTAAGTTGTTCGAAAACGTATCACATATTCAGTTAGTTGCTCGGGTCTAAGGTAGAGAATTGTAAGGGCTTTTAACACAATATTAAGGAGTTTTATTCTCCAAAGTATAATCGAGATATATATTGACCCTTTAAATACCGACATTAAACTTAAAAAATATGTCGCTGCTGCAAATCCAAAATGTCAAATCTATAATTAATATATTAATGCTGTCGCTAACAGGGACGTAACTAGCTCACGGACACAGTATATTTCTAGGTTTTTTTTATGGTCAGCATTTTTTTTTCCCGGTGGGGAGGGGGCGCAGGGGGGTGGGTCGAAACATTGTGAGCCCCCCCCCCCCTGCGTCCCCGCCCCCTTAGTTACGGGCCTGGTCGCTAAGTGCACCTAGTAACGTGTGAGTGAAATATCCGTTTTCTAGCGTTTGGTCAGGATTAATATATTATACTGCCCTTAACACTTCAGTGCAGTTATACCCTTTTTATCTTTTAATCTTTAAGTCTTGGCCACCAGTCGCTCGTTTCACGGCGGATTAACCACGTTTGTGAGTTTGTTACACATCACGTGTCAAGAACAAGGTGTCGGGTGAAAACCGTTATTTAATTAGAAGCTAGTAATCTATAGCCTTTTAAGTATTTTAGAATTACCGTTACTTTTATTCAAACCACGTTTATCCATGGACCCAATAATACATGTCTCAATCGTCCGAAAATGGGGCCACAACCAATTAAAGTCTTACAAGTTCACTATCAGTGTGATATGTGTGTGGGGTGGGGGTAATCAAAAGCCTTAATTTTTTTGTCCTTTTTTGTTTTTCTAGAAATACCGTTACTTCAACGTTTATCTCACTCGTCCGAAAACGAGGCCACAACCTATTAACTTATCGCTAGTTCAGTGCAAGTGAAAGAGCGAAACAAAAGGTCCCGAAAGTGCGACATAATATAGGAGTTAGTGAGGAAAATGAGCTCAAGACTACGAACTCTAATTCTCGGGTCAAACAAAGCCCACTGAGAGATTTGCGGGGATTGGAGATCTGAGAGAGAGAGAGAGAGAGAGGGGGGTAACGTCCACTAGACACAACATAGGTCATTTCGGGACTAACACATGGTTCAATTTTATTTCAATAATTCTCTTGCGGGTAGGGGTCTTTAGCGGTGGGAGGAAACCAGAGGACCCGGGGAAAATCCACGAGGTTGGACAGGCGACTTTGAAAGGAATATGCAAGCAAAATGTTAATCGCGGTTTTAATTAAAACGATTGCAAGTTCATCAGAAAAGGATCAATCATAGAAATGCATGCCGCCAATTAAATTAATATATCTTATTAACTTATCATAACATAGCTAATTTGTCACAGCATAATTATCATATTAAAGGGGGTATTTATTACAGCTGCGTTAAAGAGAGAGAGAGAGAGAGAGAGAGAGAGAGAGAGAGAGAGATTAACAGAACACAGTTTTTATGGGATACAATCACTTGATAACGATAAGAGTATACTTGTCGAAACGTCGTGATTTCAGAATAAAACTAGTGATTATATCCCATAAAAACCGTGTTCTGTTAATATGTTTCCCGATCGCTAAATGCCACTCAAAAACAGATAGATTGCTTTTGATTTTAAATCTATTTTTGTTTATACTACATTGTATTTATCAGATAGACTTTAGCATATTGAAAATGACAACCAATGTTATCTGAAATCTATTTTTAGGCAACATCTCGTTATACTCTATTAAATCAACTTTTATTTTTTAAGTTTTGTCGGTTAGTGGGTGGACTTCAGACCTGGCGATTGATAATTAAAGCATACCACGCAGTCATTTTTATTAGCCTACTGTTTATTTGTAAAACTGTTTTATGTTTTCTTCCCTGTTAACTCGTGTCAAAAATATCTCTGATTCACGCATGTTTCTTTTCTCTAGCCATGACCCAAAGACTCTAACACGATGTTGCTATCTTGGAGGAAACTGAATAAACCTGTCTGCATTGTAATTTGTTAAACACTTGCTAAAACATTATAACACAAAAAGTACAACTGTTAATAAAGGAAAACGGTAAAACAAAAATAGACTGAACAAACCATACACATGCAAACAGAAACAAAGATTAAATGAAATTAAATATATAATTTGTGTTTTGACGTTCTGCTTTAAAGGCTCAATACCACTCTTGTTGTAACTGAATAATATGTCCCAATCTTTATTCTAGTCAACAAATTGTACCATTTTACAATATTCCAATTAAAGATACATTATGGGAGATAAGATAACGAGATGGCAGTTCTCGCTATAATAGTTAAAAACTAGATAGTATAAAGGTAATTTGCGGAAAATTTCAGTCAAATTGATATGAGCCGAGAAAGACGCGGGTGAAATTTTTGCATAGTCTCGGTCATCATTACTAAAATCATTAATATAAACAGCATAGTCTCGATTATCCACTTTTTCTGATTTAATTATCAATGGCCGTTAGCGGCATATAGGAATCTAATCCAGCCAACATCGAAGGCTAGCCTTGACATCGAGAGTTTATTGTGGTCTGGATAAGTTAATTAAAATGTCTAATTGATAGTTTAGATAACATTTCAGGCCTAAAGAAAGACTTGTAATAAGCAGATTTTGCTCTTGCATAATGCATGTTTAAATGAAATTAAATATATAATTTGTGTTTTGACGTTCTGCTTTAAAGACTCAATACCACTCTTGTTGTAACTGAATAATATGTCCCAATCTTTATTCTGGTCAACAAATTGTACTATAATATAATTTTACAATATTCCAATTAATTGATGATACAAATTTCATCTTAACACACCTAATTTAAAAAAATTGGAAAAATTCAACTAAATGATTTGAAAAGCCTGACGTAAATTAAGCTTTTCAAATGTGACTTGGATTTAAAAATATTTTTGAACCCTCTGGACAAGTAAAATAGGATTTAATGGATAATTTACACAACATGTAAGACACTTATAACACATCTAGTACTTAGAATAAGGCTATTTTTTTTATTTTCTGGAGCTGTCAAGCGAGCAAGAGTGTTATTGGCCCTTTAAAGTTTAAATCAGCAATAAAATCCTATATAAAAATTGGGATGTCAATTTGAACTGACAACATCCATTATTTTCGCATTCTGGTCTCCTCATTATTTCCGTTTTCTTTTTTGATTTATCGGTTTCTTTTCTCTGATCTTTTTACAATGGCGATTGGTGCAAGAATGTGGAGAGGTCATTTTCGTTATAGGTAGGGTGATTATCTCGACCTAAAAGGCTGCCTGGAGGATTATAATCACCCTTTACAATCCTCGGGTAGAAACAGGCCCCCACTCACTGTAACACCCTGATGTAGGGAGAATAGAGGGAAAGAATGGCGTGAATGTGAAACATCGTTATATTCTTTACATTGGCCTTTGGCCAATGACTCAATGAATGTGGAACAGTAAGGATCGTTTAATCGAGTCTACATTCATTCAAGCCCCGCTTATCCACTAATAGTAACGGGACAATGTTTTGTTTAGAGGAGGCTTGGTCACGTGACCAGTGAAACTATTCACCGGTCTGCTCTAAATGGAAGTGAAACATGAAAATATCAGCGCGAATTTCGCCATGGAAGCGGAAAAAGTTTTGACAGCAAGTCCTGTAGACTTTTGGCATGGACATTATGTGATGTTATTGTCTATGCTGTTCTTCCATGGGGTAAATTCTGTCGTCTGCCGAATGGGCAAACCAAAATCAGTTAAGGAAGATTCATGGAAATGGACAAATTTAGTCGTTTCGTGGGTTCATGCGCTTATTGTAGGTGTATGGGATTTAAGTTGGTAAGTATGAAACTACACGTCACATCTTTGAACAAATATGTTTATTTTTAAGTAATTAGATGTGTAATTTGGTTGTATACTATGTTGAATTAACACATATTATTACGCCAGACAGTCACACCCTATAATAGTAGTAATACTAATAGTATAACCGTGCATGATCATGGGCTGAGGGTTTCTCCCATTGGCATTGCAATACAGTTTCCCCGTTGTACATGTGATTCAGTTTATTTATAGAAAATGTGTTTATCAAATTTTTATAATTTGTTAACCATATTTGCTACTATTTATAGTATACATTGTATTGGCTTCATATAATACCCTTTTAATTACAACTGTGCATTGTATTAGATACTATAATACCCTTTACAAATTTTAGCCCACAAATATACATTATACATTGTTGTATTATATTATGTGGTATACATATATACTTCAAACATTAAATGGTATCTATTATATATAGAGTCCATGCCACAGATGATAATAATATCACGTATATTGGAATATTAAAATTTGAATATCTTTAATGGTCAGCACATTGATATTTTCCAGTGTCATATCTTTAGCTTTAAAAAAACATCATATAGACCTATTGTTGCAGTTTTATACTTTGTTTTATAGAGCTCATAAAACAACAATAACAGAATTATATGTACATGTACTTAAAGGAGGGGGATCACGTGGCTAAGTGGGTAAGACGCTGGATCGCTAGCCTGCAGGTCGGGTGTTCAATCCCTGCATTGGCCGAGAAAGTTCATCCAGATTTTTCGGCGTGGTCTCCCCTTGTCAGTGATGCAGGATGGAGGGCCTGACAGCTGTCTAGTCGTTCGAATGGGCCAAAAAACCGAGGTCCCGTGTACACATTGGCGTGCACGTAAAAGATCCCTTGGCCATTGGAATTCGATATAATAGTAGGCTGCAGAACCGCTGCCCGGACAAAATTTCCCTCATAGCACACTGTATGGCAAATGCCCATATTCATTAGCCCAGGTTAGGAGCAGAACAGTAGGACATTAAACCCCATTTCATTTCATTTCACTTAAAGGAGGTAAATCGCTAATATTTGGGACCTTGAAATTGACACAAATGGGTCGCAATGCATATAATAATGCAATATGAATGTATATAAACTAATTTACATTCAATCGTTTCCGTTTTTCCTCTAATTTCAAATCAGTTGTATTCAGCGAAATATGCCAGAAGTCTCAATCATGTAGCAATCTCTAGCGCCTGGTTATTACTGTCATTCACTGATAGTATTTATTGTGCATGCTCTCAAGATAAGTATGGCGTCTCCTTGTGACATGACTTGTGGAATATGTCTAGCTTCGTTCTTTAAGTGCCTTGTTACAAATGGCGCTGAAATTGTATCATGGTACACAATTGGTGTACCAATGGTAAAATGTTTATTTTGTCTTAAATATTGGATGTCAGAATCCCATCTTTTCTCAGAAAGATCACAACATCAATGTTAATTTAAATTGACAAATAATTTGTGTTTTCAATGTTGAAGAATTTGGATTATATTGCGTTAGAGACTTAGCTACTTCAAAGCTAGTATCTATTATTTCACTGCCACTGTCAATTATCGAAAACACTCTAAATCAATTGTTAAAGTGGCATTTAGTAACCGGATGAGAATAACATATGGCACAATTATATGGAATACAAGTTACTTGAAGAGTTTATTTCAGCGACGTTTCGACGCGTTTTCTCCCATTGTGGTTAACACTCTTAATCCCCCAAAGCACAAGTGACATCACAGTGACCGAATGCATATTAGACATGCTTATTCCTTAATTACCCCAGTTGGGGGGGGGGGGATTTGGATGGCCGAATGGTTAGCATGTGCACGCTGTATCATAAGGTCTGTCATTGAGTCAACTGGCGGGGTTTTGATTCCCCGATTGTACGTGACAAGGAGTAGGGTCGCCTGTGCAACCTCATGGGTTTTCTCTGGGTCCTCCGGTTTCCTCCCACTGCTAAAGACCCCTACGCGCAAGTGAATTATTGAAATAAAATTGAACCATGTGTTAGTCCCGAAATGACCCAGTTTGTGTCAAGTGGAAGTTCCCCCCACCGTCTCTCTCTCTCTCTCTCACTCTCACTCACTCTCTCTCGCTCAAGATGTGTACTCATTATCGCTTCACTGATTCCTTACTCCCTTTATAATATAAATCATTTTATCATTTTAGCACTATATGAATCACTTGCGAACTAGTTAAAAAGTCAGAATTGCAATATGTCTACAAATTAAAGATATTCATGTATATATAACCTTATTTATCCAACATGACACTATAGAATTTTTTTCAATATTTTTAATCATATTTACTATTTTCATGCAAGAAAATGGTTGCAGATGCAATTTCTTTACATAAAGCCATACAAGTCTATAAGTTGAAAATAATCATACTGAACTCACAAAGAGCTACATTTCCTTGTTAAAACTTTAATTTAAACATACATTATGAACCGATTAACTGCATAACTTTCCTTCACGATTTAACGATTAAATGGATAATCGAGACTATGCTGTTTATCGTACTGACTTTAGTAATGATGATCGAGGCTAGGCGGAAATTTCAATCGCTTAGTTCTCGGTTCATAGTGGATCAATTTGAATGAAATTTTCAGCAAATTGCCTTTACATTACCTAGTTTTTAACTATTATAGTGAGAACTGCCAACGCGTTATTGAATCTCCCATAATGTATCTTTAACTTGTAGTCTGTGAACATTTATTGCTAATTCTGTTCTAATTCAGATTGAATCCAAACCTGGATTTTATCTAGCATTATTCTCTTGAGATTTTGTTTTCTTAATTAAATATTAAAGGGACAATAACACTCTTGTTGGCTTGACAGCTCCAGAAAATAAAAAATAGCCTTATTCTAAGTATTAGATGTTTAAATGTCCTACCTGTTGTGTAAATTATCCATTACATCCTATTTTATTTGTCCAGAGGGTTCAAAAACATTTTTAAATCCAAGTCACATTTGAAAAGCTGTACGTCAGGCTTTTCAAATCATTTAGTTGAATTTTTCCAATTTTTTAAATTAAGTGTGTTAAGATGAAATTTGTATCATCAATTAATTGGAATATTGTAAAATAGTACAATTTGTTGACCAGAATAAAGATTGGGACATATTATTCAGTTACAACAAGAGTGGTATTGAGCCTTTAAAACACATCAAACAGTTTTATGCTTGACAACTGAGAAGCAGTGGCGGACCCAGGATTTATTCCAGGGCGTGACTAAAAGAGGTCAGGGGCGAAGCGCGGTCGACCAAAGGCGGGAGCACTAGAAGGGGGGGGCATAGGGTGTCCAAAGGGGTTTAAACTATTTTGTGCTATCTGAGGTATCTTCTGGGCAATAGTTCTCAAAGAAATAAAGTGAAAACCCCAAAAACTTATCCGATTTAGCGTTTTTTTTTAAATCTCTCAGGGGGGTGACTAGTCACCCTAGTCACCCCCTCTGGATCTGCCACTGAGAAGAGATTAAAATTGATAGATTTTTACTGCACTGTATTGATATTTTCTTTAAATAATCAATCTTAGAACATATTAAACATACATTAATTATTCTAGATTTTTTTTCTTAATTAAATTTTAAATAATAATTGAATCTTAGAACATAATAGAGTGGCTTAAACATACATTATGAAAGAGCTAAATCTACATATTGCATGTCTTTCTTTAAGCTTGAAATGTTATCTAAATCATTAATTAAACATTAATTAACTTATCTAGACCATAATCAACTCTCGATGTCATTGCTAGCCTGCGATATATTTGGCGGATTTAAATACATTTTTTTGAAAAATAATTAAACGTAAAGATGATAATTTAGACTTTGTTTTTTATCATACCGACTTTAGTAATGATGATCGAGGCTAGCCTAAAATTCAATATCTTGATTCAGCATATTCTATTTATGTTATCTATTTTTTTAACTATTATATCAAGAACTGTCGATTCTTTATCTGATCGCCCATAATGCCTCTTTAATGTTAAATAATCAATCTTAGAACATAATAAAGTGGATTAAGGGCTGAGAAATTTGATATTTAGCGAAATATACAAATTACACACCATTTTAAACTAAGGAATAATTGGTTTTATATGAAATGAGGAAGACAAATTAGAATAGCTTATTAAGAATGGTTTAATTTTAGATCATAATTAGAATGTGTGTTAGAAATGTCTTAATCAAGACAATCACTGTAGCCGTATTCCCTGCGTCCTTTTGATCGATTCCCCCAAAAATACAGATACATTAGTTAAGAGCTAAATAAGCCTATTGCAAGTCTTTCTTTAGGCTTCAAATATTAAAATTATTAATTGGACCTTTATTTACATAACAAGTCTGACATCAACTCTTGGCTGGAATGGATACAGCTTGGATTTAAACAGTCGTCCATTTAATTAATAAATTGCTGACCAAGCTAACATTCACCGTTGATCACTGACTGCTGATGAAAGGACTGACAAGGAAGGGTTCCGTAGGCATTGAGAATGCTACTTGATAATCGAGAATATGTGGGCAGAGTTATCGTCTGTCAATCAAGCGATTTGCAGTTCTCAGAGACAATGCGGAGACAGTAATGCCTATCTCTAGTCCAAACTTCCAACGTTGATAATTTCGTTCAGAATAAAGTAATTTGATTGAAATTTTCAATATTTTCTTTTTATCATCTATTTTTCAACGGTTATATCAAGAATGGATAACTCTTTATTAAGATCTTAAAGGAGCTAAATCGCTAATATTTGGGACCTAGAAATTGACACAAATGGGTCGCAACGTATATAATAATGCAATATGAATGTATATCAACTAATTAACATTCAATCGTTTCCGTTTTTACGCTAATTTCAAATCATTTATGTTCAACGAAATACGCCAGAAGTCTCAATCGAATGGCATTCTCTAGCGTCTGGTTATTCCAGTCGACATCGATAGTATTTATTGCACATGTTCTCCAGATAAGAATATGT